AAGGGGCGGAGCCTCGGACGCTCCGCCTCCGCCTGTCCCTCTCCGCCGTCCGCTACACCGGGGTCTCCGGAACCCCTTTCCGGCAAGAGCAACACCGGCGCGCCGTGCCACCGGGGCAGGGTGAGACGTCGACACCGCGCGTCCCGTCGGTGCCGATTCCGCTCCGGGTGCCGGCGTTTCCGATGTCACTTCCCGTGTCCCGCCCTTTTCCCCAAACCAGAGGAGACGGTGACGATGACGGTGACCTACGCCGAGTACGGACCCCACGTCGGCGACCAGGACGCGCTGAAGCTGACGGCGGCCGGAGTCGTGGAAGAAACGGGGCAAGTGGTGGCCAAGGAATTGCGGGTCCGGCTGCACGCGCCGGAGCTCACCCTGACGGTACGGCCGGATTCCCGGAATGCGTCGTGTCCCTCGGATCTCCGGATGCCGGGACGCGTCCCACGCGGATTCCCGGATTTCCCCTCGCCGACGTCTCGGTTCTCTCTCGCGGCAGCTGTTGGCCCCGGCGGTGGTGGGGCAGGAGACGCCAGTGCAGGTGGTTTTCCAGAATCCGCTGCCGGAGACCTTGAGCGGAGCCACCCTACGGATGGAGGGAGCCGGGATTTCCTGCCCCAAGCCCTTCCAGATGGGGTGAGGATCCTGGAATGTCGGGGGGGAGGCTGGGAATTTGGGGAAGGGCAGGGATTCAGGGAGGGAATCAGGAATTCCAGGGGGTCCCAGGAATTCAGGAGGATCCCAGGAATTTGGGGGTCCCAGGAATTTGGGGGTCCCAGGAATTCAGGGAAGGTCCCAGGAATTCAGGAGGGTCTCAGGAATTTGGGGGTCCCAGGAATTTGGGAGAAGACCCAGGAATTCAGGGGGGACCCAGGAATTTGGGGAGAGACCCAGAAATTTGGGGGGTCCCAGAAATTTGGGGGGTCCCAGGAATTTGGAAAGGTCCCAGGAATTCAGGAGGGTCCCAGGAATTCAGGAGGGTCTCAGGAATTTGGGGGTCCCAGGAATTCAGGGAGGGACCCAGGAATTTGGGGAGAGACCCAGGAATTTGGGGGGGTCCCAGGAATTCAGAAGTGTCTCAGGAATTCAGGGAAGGAACCAGGAATTTGGGGAGAGACCCAGGAATTTGGGGGGTCCCAGGAATTTGGGGGTCCCAGGAATTTGGGAGAAGACCCAGGAATTC